CACAAGTTTAAGGTCACCGTTAGTTAGCATCATCTTGGAGGGAAGCCTATACGACCGACAGCTACATTTGTCTTTTCTACTTTACTTTAAAGTCACGTCACAATACAACCATACTATGTGAAATAACAAAAACATTTAAAACTATTTATTATTCTTAACAGAACCTATTTTGTCTCGGATAGCTTTGTATCTTAACAACACTAGAGTGACTACGTAGTACGTATTAACTATTATTACTTAATATAAGTTTTATATCGAAAGTTATCGGCGTCGCATGTCTCCTTATCTATAATTAAAATCAATTGGATTATAGTTCTGTGCCGCGCGACTACTCACATGAGACTATTGATGTACTATACAAATTGTTACAACGAAGTAAACAGTATTAAGCTTTTTCTATTTTATTAAAGCCATTTTTTTGCATACTGTAATAAATACCTTCCCCTAATTCAATTTTTTTAACTCAACGTGAATCCAGTTTAAAAAAAAAAAGAATATATAGATTACTATTGTAATCCACGCGACCAATGTGGGGTTAAGTACGGGTCTTTTTTGACCCTACAATACCAGTTGTGTTGCTCAAAATAAGGATAACAGTTAAGGGTTAATAGTAGCCTGCTGGACTACTATAATGTTGTCATTTAAGAAGACGCTACCCATAAATTTATTAAGGAGGAGAGTATATGCGATTTTTCGTGAAATCTTAATTTAGAGCTTAAACCATAGTCTATAGTGTATAATTGTAATGCAGTAAGAATCACTCTTATTGTTTTTTTTTTGCTAGACTATCACAGTAATTTCTATAGAAAAAATAACAGTTCTTTCCATCAAAATAATTTTGCGTGAAACAAAACCAAAGTGTCTTGAAATTAAGGTAAGTTCACCAAATTTTCAAAATAAATAGAAAAGAATTTTATCTTAGCTTAAACGATTTTAGATTTTCGGTGATTCAATCCACTAAATTTTATAATCTAAAAAATACTAAAATTCTTAACTTTAAAATTTCATGGAAAGAAAGTTATTTGATCTATTGAAAATAAACCATGCTTTTGCGAAGAAAACATTCTCTTCTATTTTTAAAATAAGAATAGAAATATTTTATTTCTTTAAAAATTGTATGTGTTTAGTACTATCGCAGCATCTACAGTTTCATACATACTTTAGTACATGATCGTTGGACTTAATTATGAAAAAAATTATGAATTTACCTTATTTTATATTAATTCAAAATGTAGCTGGCAGAATTGTATTAAGTAAGAGTCAACAACAAAAGACATCATTACGTTCTAAATGGTGTACTAATTGCTAACGACCGGATATTATTAAAAATATTTGTCTACACTTAATAACGTTTCTATTAATTTTTTTTTTCTTGCGCACTGATTAGTCACTTCATGTCATTACCGCAACCTACAAGGTAACGCGCAGGGGACATTTTATTGAATTATAATTGACTACGATGTTCATATTGTGAGAAAGTTTTTTTTTTTTTAATTAACAACTCTTTTTGTCTTCATAAAGCCTACGGGTTAAGTAAAACATATTATGAAGATCGGAGTGATTTAGCCAGTATGTTGAATAGACTGGATACGTTAACGATACCTATTATTATTTTGGTAAAATATATGTTTTTCATTTCTCACGTCTGACCGGTGAGATTTGAATGAATTATGAAACCGTACAGAATTTACTATATAGGATTCGGGTTGTGCTCAGTTTGTGCAACAGTCGGTCAAATGAACGACCGTGTACCAACTTAAGCTGAGGCCAATGACAAATTATATTATACGAATACCCCGTGCGTGGACTTAATATTTTGTGTGGGTGCCTGTGTAGGTATACTGTCGAATACAATAGACCATTTCAAGTTGTCCAACTATACTTGCCGGGTCAAACGTAAAAAAGATTTGGCAAAAAGCGACATGACATATACAAGTCTTATTGTTAGCTGTTCGGCGCGTTCAAGTATTGCACACAAATTTGAATGGTTAAAAGAAACGCGGCAAAGAGCAATATCCGATGAAAAATTGTATTTTCACTCGACAGCGGCAAAGGTGCGTGGGAACAATACAATTAGTTAAAACGCAATTAACGAACTGCCAGTTATGTTTGGATTGAATTACAAAACGATTACATGTATTGCAATACCGTTTATTGTTATTTGTTATGGTGCTTGGGTTTTAAGTCCAAATAGCTATTAAAAACCAATTTCTTTGACCGTGTATGACAAAAATGTATTAATTTTTGAACCAGAGACGGTTAATTTATTATACATCGAGTTAAGATATGCTTAGGCCATAGATAACGCAATAAGGTCGACATCTTGAACTCATAACGTTGTCGTAAATATTTAATACTTTAAAGCGTTAGGTTATTTTATTAGGTGTTTGACAGGCGATAGACAGGACCATAAAACACGAAGACGCCAAGCATTTGTGATTTTTACGGTATACAAACTAATAATATCATTTAATTAACGAAGAATGCATCAATTAAGCGATAACTACGAAAACAAAACGTTATAATGCGAGAGGCTACGCCGGCATGAAAGTAACAGTTATATTTTATTTTCACACTTGAAAGCTGTTGGCACGTGGCTACAGTTTTTCAATACGGCCACTGTTTACTTTCGCGTGCAATTTTTATATCTAAGGTATTGTTTCTTGAACTCTCCACCAGTAAAGTATAATTGACTATATATTATAAACATTGAACACTAATAAATGTATAAATGTAATTAAATTTAAATAAAATACATTTGACGAACAGTTACTAAAAAGTTACATATACATCGAATCTTAATGACTTCAAGTATTTAATGCTTTCCTTAAACATTAAATATTGAGATATGCAAAAAAAAAATGGATAGAGGTATTCGATATAGTTAATAAAACGACTGTTGTGGACTCGGAGATTAAAAAACTTCTTCTTGTCGAGGTTGGGCATTAAGAACTAGAGCGACAAGTTCAAATAGTATACCTAACGCCCTTCAATAATTATCCAGTCGAGTATGGATGATGAGTGTTTGTTAACATTGTTTGTAATTTGAAATGTTTTGTAATTTATTGTGTTGCGTTTCAATGTCTGTGTAGGAAAACGCTTATAATTTTACAGACAATTAATAAAAAAATAAATCAAGTACTAACAAACATTTCATCATGCATGCATTCTATCTTGAACGATTTTTCGCATTATTAAGACTGAGAATTACTACAGTAAAATTGTTTAGTATTTTATTATATTTAGATTAACTTTATTATCCACCTACGATCCGAGGGCAACAACATATCTTACCAGGCAATGCACCGGATTTTATAATCGGTTACATACTATATACTTTATTACTATAGTACTGAGCCATAGCGTGTAATCGATTCGGAGTCAAACACGATGACAATTAAAACTCGGGAGACCATAATAATAATGATAGTGTTGTGTACAGTCATACTAACGAGTTACAATGGACCGATAAACGAAGATAAAACGCCGCGCCAGGCAACGAATGACTGAAAGTGGTTCTTATGTTTAGCCCGGGAGAAGTTTGCGCTGTATTAATTTTTAAACCTCACACACGGTTATATAGCTTGGAGCTTTTGTTATAAGTGACACACAATACAATGTTATTTTTCCTCGGATCATACCCGAACGTTGTTGTTGCGCCACCGCAAGACTTGTTGTGTTTGTGTCGGCGTTTGCAAACGAAAAAAAAAACAATGGATCGACTGTTGGACTAACTTGAAAATCGCCGACCGAGCTCGATGTTAGGGCCCGTCACGGTATGCAGTATACTATATACATGTAGTATACTATGTACCTACCTAATATTGGGTATATTACTTATATATGCGTGCAGTAGACTCGGATAATCGCGATGCCACGAGTCCCGCGGGCCTCGCAATCGAAATGATATTATCGTCTAGAGTGTATGTACAATAACACGCTTACCGGTTACAAATGTAAGATGTTGTACAGTGTTCATTATAAGTCATAATGTATTTGACGAAGATAACAATCGTACTCCGATGGCGACTGTAAAACGCCAACAACAATAACACGACACGGCCTACATCGAATTTCGGCGACTATAATAATAATATTATTATACCTATGTTATTTGTATGCAATCGTTAGTGGGCTTCCACGACCCTTTTGTCGGTCCCAATACAAGAACCATCGAACCGAATCCAAAGTGTCGTGGACCTTTGTAGACGGACCTTATGTACCGTACGACCCTGTGAACATAATATCAGAATAATATTACAAAACCCTTTTGCGCCAGACTGTGCTATTCTCTAAAGAAAAAATTATAATTCAAACCCGTCAATAAATTGCCTTTAATAAGAAGACGTCACATCAGTGGATCGCACGGATTTGAATGAATCGTATAGGAATTAAATTTCAGACAAAATTTGACATTTGCTAGCTGTTTTTAAGTATATTATGTACATTGGTCATTGTGAATATTTTAGTAAACGAAATTGACGATCTGACTGTGTTATGTACTTTTAATGTTTTTTGTTATTATATTATTTGTAAAAAAAAATATTGTTTGGTTAGCTATATAATTAAGTCAATATACTACGTTCAAGCCTCATGTTTTCTGCGTATTTTCATTTATGTTTGTTATCGAATAAATATTATTCATTTTTCTAAATTATCGATCACCTATATTTATAAAAACACGATTTTCGCCTTATAAAATTTTAACTGTTGGACAAACATGTTGTGCACGAGTTTATTTTGTTTGCCTGAAAATGAATTCCTATATGATTCATCCAAATCCGCGATCTACTGATGTAACTACTAGGTACTTAATCTTTTAAAATTCTATTCTATTATTTATTTATTTTTTTATTTTGCAGGGCGAGGACGGTGGTGTATTAACGTGACGTCCGTGGTCGAGCGGGAGAGTTCTGCGAGAATTCGGCAGAAGCCACGCTGTTCGATGTTGTGCGTGAAAGACCAGGCGAGGCGGGGGAAAGTTATAAAACGAACCAGAAGACCTGTGCACCGGCCAGTGTACCACAACGCGGAATTTTGTTTCAAACGCTTAAGACACATTCGCGATTGCACACGGCCATTCGTATCGTAGTATGCGTTTTTTTTTAATTCGTACATAGAATTTATAAAAATAATCGTATCGACTACTTGTGCATATTATTACAGCCGTCCGGTGCCATTATGCATATCAAATCTCTATGGGTAAGTCGAAGAGGTTTTGTTATTTATTACAAAATTATATTGTTCTATTTGTATATTACGGATTTAACTATTTTGTCCAACTCCGTACAGTTAATTTTAATCTTTACAATTAACAAGTTGGGTCGAAAAAAGGTGGTCTAAATGATTAACTCTTGCAGTCTTGGTATCCCATACATATGGGACGTCATTTTTTTTTTACTTTAAAGACATTATTTGTATTTATTTTAGAATGTGAAATTCAATTTCATGACATGAAAAAGTTAGTGAATAAAACCTATACTTTGAGTACTTCACATATATCTGCATATTATTCTTATTCGCTTCATCCAGTCCAAAACACGTGTTTTCTTTGTCTGTTATTAGAAATAAGAACATAATTCAACCGTGAACTTTGACTAGCTCATATTTTTCAACTCAATGAAACATAAAAGTTTTATGATTCGTTTGCAGTGGCGTATCTAGCTGGAGGTTTTAGAATCAATCAACCCCCCCAATTAATTTGAATTAGTAAAGGGCTGTTCTCTATGTCAAATTTTGGTCTCTCAAAATTTAAATTGCCTACTTAATTGTCGATAAACTATATAGTATAATCTAACTATAATAATACAATAATGTAACTATATAATATTATATATTACAATATAACTGTATTCAAAAATCGCTTTAAGCCCTTTTCTGTCAACTGTCATTATAATACATTTTAAATCCTTGATCAATATACGTGTATTCAAGAAAACTGAGTAGTGAAATTTTAATTAAATTCCTTATAGAGCTTTCTACTTTGTATTGCATAGATGGGCAACAAAAAAATATCATAGTGGGGAGAGAAAATCCGTATTGTTTTATTTATAACCAAATTATTACAGAAATGAAAAATACAAATGTATCAAATGATAAGATACAATTTATGATAGAAAAAATGATATGAATTCGTTTTATCTAAATCTATCATTATTGTATACAAAACAATATGATATACTCTCGGTACAACTACGGAAAAGGTCATTTAGCCGGTTGAACCTTATTAAATTAAAATTTGTTTATACAACTAAATTGTTTTGTTTTATTAGTTATAAGTTCTTAATTAAAAATTATAAGCAACAATTATAATGCCTTGAAAGTTAATTATAAGTAATAATAAAAGTATATTTAAAGTTTTAAACGAAACGAGGCTAGCAAGGGATATAATAAGATAGATATATTGAAGATAAATCTTAATGACGACCGAGGCCAGAACGGACAGTCGTTGAAGAAGAAATAAATAGTATGGAAAGAGCAAGAAGTTGTGCTCGAGTCTATTATTTTAAATTACTCGAAATTATTTTATACCACAAACAGCGAAGTTTTTTATGCTTTTTAATAAACACTACTTGGTGAAATGAGGAAGATATATTTAGAGGGTTGTATGATAAAATATGTAAACGCTGAATTTAGGATAGAATAGACATAAGAGAGGAAATTTCCCATTGGTGATATCTATATAGATTAGAATAGACTCCAAATAGGGTTAACATAGTTCCCTGCGCCGCATTAAAGAGCATGGATGGGTTTTCTGAGCGGAGAGACGCAGGCTGAGATGTACAAAACGTTGGTATTCCATAAACAATTCTTTGAGCAACTACGGGATTAGTCAAAACTGGGTATAAGAGCATTTGGTAAACAATTATTTTCGATACAATTTCCTCTTTTATTCGTATATGCGTTAATTAATTTCACGTTATAAATTCTCAACTTTGATACTATGTTTGGTTATTTAGCCACTACCTATCGTTGTTATTTTTTATTACCTAACTATCTCGCGTGTTAATTTAAACAACCGTTACGAATTAATACCTGTTGTCCGTGTTTCCGTTTGGAAGTTATTCGTTTTTACTTGACCGTGCGTGCGTAAGGTGACTTAACAATGGATATATTATTATTATTATTATTGTTATAATATACTCGGACCGCGTGTGGATTCACTCGAAGACACTCGAGGACGCGGTAAAGACGAGTGAGATCGAAAGCGACCGCATAACGCCAAAGTGTATTATTTGTAAAAATATAAATCTGATAAGACAATTAGACACACTCGCTCGGACGCACGAACGATAAACCTTGATATACATAATCATCAAACGTCCGATCGCTTTGTGTTAGCCGTACGAATCACCCCGTACTGTAGTTGTCAATCCCCTCGCTGACTGGCCGTCGTTACTCAGCATGTTCTATTTTTTTGAAGATTTGGTTGAAAAGAAAAAAAAACCATTTATAAAGACCTTGAGATCTCAATCCACATGTTGTAGTCAAAAAATCGTCTGGCGAAGAGCAAAATAATATAACAGAATAAAATAATAGATTTCGTTGCGCAATACTGAAATCGTGTGCAGCTCATGTATTGGAGGTGAAAAATTCGGTTTCCTAAATAGTTCATTATTAACGCGTACAGTCCAACATACAAATTTAAGAAAAATAATCTTTATGTATCCGCTTGTGTATGTGTATGAGAGCGCGCGCACTGGCTTTCACTAATCGTTATCTAGTAGTTCGCTTATCTTCAGTCGTCATCGCGCTTAACAATATTACCGTTATACAATAATAATAATAATAATAATAATGGTAATAATAATTGCAAAACAAGGCTCCGTAACCAGCGCATAAGGTTCTCACATTTTTCTACTCGGTTGTTGTTCACTAGCAATTTTGTTCGGCCATAAAGAAAAGACGAGAAGCAAGGCGCCGTCGATATAGAAAACATAAAATCTTCATGTGGCAACTGTATACATCAGTAATCGTACCAGAAAGGTACTTATTGTGGTCGAAAATTTATAAAGTTCACCCCTTTCCCTTCAAAATCTATAAAAGCACTCCACAAATTTACTTATTTATCCACTTAAAATTTCAGTGCTCTATAACTTCATTAAAAATAGTAGAATTAGAATGGAATATTCTTAAGATAATGTACTATTGTTATACTAAAAAAATATCATAATCCTTTGACCTCAGAAGGGATAGGAACTTTTTCTTTATTTCTCCTTTTTTAAGTTTTAAGACTTAAGGTTTGAAAATTTCTACCGAAAATCTAGAGTGAAGTTAGTTAAAACATGGCAATTTTTTTTTAAATCTGTAGTCAAATTTTTTTTTATAGAGGAAAAACCAAAAAAAGGGATAATTTCACTTTGACCATATTAAATTTCTTGGCACGTAATAATGAATCAACAATCAACAGGTATCAGTAAAATAATTTCATAATATTTGTATTACGATTTATAGGTATAACAACGGTAAAAAAATAATATATGATACAGACAATCAAATGTATCAATCGTATTCACCCTAATACTAATAATACCATTTTAAGCACATTACTATCATTACAATGCCTTTGTCAAAATTTATATTTCTACCATTCTACAGATTTACATCGAAACGTTTATTTAAAAGTAATTTTAACACACAGTTATAATAACTTCTTAAGATACGTTTAATTAAAATAAGCAGGCATTGATAATAACCCTGTGGTCATTGTTGTTTAAGATCAGAAGAGATGTGTAGAAAATTCTTTTTGTTTAAAGAGAACGTTTCATTAGCATTTAACTGTTCATGTCTTTTTACTAATAAATTAGCAAGGTTTAAGTTACTATTCATTGAGTTATGTCACTAAATGATGCAATTTTGACCTAATTGAACATAGATGCTTTTTGTGTAGGTGTTTACTACTGTAGTAGAACTTAACTCACACTACTCGCAAGCAACGGTAGACATTTTAAGTGGGTAATTTCAATTATTTTTCAATCCGACATTGACCAATCGATGACCTCCGCTACAGATCTAGCGGTTTGTAAAGATGGGCGGTCGTGATTCGACGGCCTCGTGTATATTGTGGGCCATTTCGGGTAGGTTAGGTGCAACACGCTGCAACTCGTGGGAATGATTCATTTTATTCTATCCAAACGAATGTATTTGCTATCCGTTCGCACGCGGTCTACCGTGATCGACATGATTTATTACGACGTGATTTATTTATCTACTTTTTACTCACTAGCTATTGTTTATGTTTACAGGGCGTGTTGTTTGCGACACTGTTAACCGCGTCCACGGTGGTGGAATGCCGAAGAGTGAATGTGAAAGCGGCCGACGAAGTCGAAGACGAGCGGCTCGAGGACGACAGGCCACAACAGCTGAAGCCCGTGCTGGTGTCTAGGAGGCCGTTGAGGCCGTTGGCCGATGCGGAAACCGAACGGCAGCCGGTGGTGATCGTCCGCCAAGCGCCCAGACAACAGCTGCTGCAGCAGAGACCGGCCGCCGCCGAAGAAGAAGAAGACCCGGACCAACAGCCGCCCGCCATCGCCATCAGACAGCCCGGTAGATCGCTGCAACAACAGCGGGCGCCGCCGTCTCAACAACAGTTCTTGCAACAGAGACTGAAGGAACCGCAACCAGAGAAGAAAGAGCCCACCGCTCAGACAATCAGAAATTACAACAAGCTCAACGACGACGGTTCGTTCACTTTCGGTTATGAAGCGGACGACGGCAGTTTTAAAGAGGAGACTCGCGGCACCGACTGCGTAGTCAGAGGCAAATACGGTTACGTCGACCCGGACGGCAACAAAAGAGAGTTCTCTTATGTTCAGGGCAACCCGTGCGACCCGAATGCGGTAAACGACGACCAAGAAGACCAGCAACCGACCAAACCCGACGAAGAAGAGAACATACCAGCGAACGTGCCCAAACCGAAGCCTAAGAAGAACCGTCCGACGACCACCCTGTTCCAACAACAATTCGGCGATTTTGAGCAGCCGTCCACGACCCCCCGTCAACCGGGCCGTCAGTTTTCCGACGCTCCCAGGGCCCCCCAGATTTCTCCTACCTCCGACCGGCCATCGTCTACGGCGGCACCACCCGCGTTCAGACCGTCCGAAAGTCTAGAATCGGCATTCCGCGCTTTACCTCAACCGCCCCAACAAAACGCCATCCCGACCGGATCTAACCAACCCCTTTACACGACCGAATTGGTGTTCAACCCGGCCACCGGACAATATAACACTGTCATCTACCAACAGGTACCCAAGCAACATGCAGGTATTAGCCTTAAACAGCGTTTACCGTTGGCGCCCCCGAGTCAACAATTCGACACTCAACCTCAACCGCCGGCCGCTTTCCGGCCATCTGCGCTCGCCCAACAGTTCCAACCCGAATTCCCTCCGACGAGGTCCGACTTCAACTTCCAGAGGCCGGCTTCGTTTTCGGGACCCGTTGCCCAACAGCAGTTCGTCCAACAACAACAGGCGACGATGTTCCAACAATCGCAAAATTTGTTTAGACAACAGCAACAACAACAACAGCAACAGCAAAAACAATTGATCCAACCGTTCCCCGCGCAACAACAGTTCGCCGCCCAACAACCCTTCCAATCGGTGCAATTTTTCCCGCCACCGCCACCAGCTCAGCGTTTCGCCGAACAGCCACGATTCCCCCAACAACCTAAACAACAGCGTTTTGAACCTCAACCGGAAGCTCATCAACAGCAGTTTGTGCTCGTTCAACCCGGACGGACAACCGCCCAGCAAAGTCTGGCCGCCGGCCAAATAGACGCGTTTCTAAGAGGCCACAACGTACAACTCTAAACGGAATAATTTAATTTCTACTTAATTATTATTATAACTATGTACATAGTAAGAGTCTATCTATTTTATAACTGTATTATAGAGTACCTTATTTTTGTGTAAGCTACTAATTAAGAATTTGCAACACGTATTGTTATTATCATTATTTTGTACGATTAATATATATATATATAGTATAGTATATTATAAATGTATAATTCACACCGGTTGAGCCAGCGTTTTCACTTGCCGAAGGTGAAAGCCATTAACGACGTCACTTTGCTAAATATGTTATTTTATAATATGTTATCAAATAATTAAGGATGTTTTTCTTTACACATTCGTGTAATTTTATGTTCCAAAAATAATTATGTGCTCAAACATGTCGAACAATTTGTAAATACTTAAAAATCTTATATGTATTTTGTATTTGTTTTTATCAATGTTTACTTTGCATGAAAATAAATCACATGTCAAAAAAATTGCGGTACACCTCTACTTTTAGTCGTATGTAGCTCGATTTTCACTTTCATACAGACCGCTTCCGATGCAAACCCGGTTTTAGTCTAGATGACGCAAGCGGTCGTTCCTTCACGAGTCTTTAATTGATCATTTTTCTTACGTGCCCCGGTGACCTAATTTCAAACGCCGTCGCCGATGAATAAAACACTATAATAATAATAATAATAATACCAGTTATAATATAACGGGTACAGTGTACCCACGGGTCGTTATTATGTGGCTGCTGTTCTGCCTATCGGGTACGAAATAACAACGCTGTGGTGACATAATCCACAAGTTTCCCAATGTATGGATTTGGTATATAGTCGACTGATCGTGGTCTTTGTGCTTCGTTCGATGTTGCCACAAACAGGCCCGGAAAGATGTCACGATCGCAACTTTATACACCTACATAGCCTTAAATCGTGGAACCGAACCGTACATAACATACAATAAGTAGTAACTAATAAATAGTACAGTAATTACACGGTTTCCGGTCGACCGATACGTTTATATTCGGTCTAACATTGTATTTTTGTATACTTAAACCAAAATGAAAAATCGTTGTAAATATTGCTGGGTCATTCCCGATTATTACTAATTATTTTAAAGTATAATACTAAACAAAACACATAGCTCTCCTTCCGCAGTCCAGTTAAAAATAGACCTATGTGCACTCGCGGTACATACTAAGACGACGAAAAAAAAGTCCATTAAAGTTTTACAGTTAAGCATACTGTAGGCATATACTATTATATTCAAAGGATTTACTCGCATGTCAATTGTTTATGCAACTAGAGGAGTTAAGTTACTAAATAATGTACGTACTGACGCCTCTAAAGAATATCTGCTTTAAAATTATATTGAAGTTTGAAATGTATTTTTGTATTTACATCATGTAATGTGACACACCGTTATTGTAGATATTATAATCCTTTATAAAGTAGGAAATCAAATCTAAACAAATAATAATTAATTTGTATAATAAAATAAATGGTTTTACTAATTCTTAGTATAAATTATTATCATGCCATAGGACATAACATATTAACATGTAATTGTATAACATTATACGGTACATGTGATACGAAAATTAGCTTAATTAGTTTGGCTAAAGTAACACAGCAAACGGATTTTAATACTACATTACCGTGGCTAGCAATTAATTAGAAATCGATTACATACTTACAATTTTTTTTAAATTTATAACCATAGTGATATTTATAATATTTACATAAGGTAAACTGTAATATGTCTATAAACAGCAGACGATTATATCGTAGTCCTATTTTTTTATCCAATCAAAATTATAAATGTGTAACTAATTGATTTATTACTTATTACTTATTAGTATCTCGACCGTAAACAGTAGTTGTATCTTATAATTAAAATATGTATAATAGGGTGGGCCAAAACAATTTTTTTTTTGTTCTGCTCTTGACATTATGTTCCTTGGGATAAAATAATATTTCCTATTTTTTTCAGATTTTTTAAATTATTTTTAGAGGTTGCGAGCATCAGTTTTCCAAAAAAAAATTGTTTTCAGTTTTTAATTTTTTTAAGATATAAATATTAAAGTATAAACTTGTTTTTTGTTTTTTTCTGATCTATCGTTAGAATAATGTGTTATGTAAGTATATCAAAATTCTTTGCAACTAAATGAGGAATAAGTTTAAAATATTTTACACCCCTAAAAAAAAATATTTTAGGGTACTATTAAGGGTATATATATATATATATATATATATATATCAATGTTTTCGCAAATTTTACATTCTAAGGCCTAAATTAGTTAAATAGTAGCTTTTTTTGTAAAAAAAAAAAATACTGGTTTATTCCTCTTTTTTTAATGATGATTTTGTATACAAGCAACATTTTGTTTAAAATTTATATTTATAGTAGTTTGATATGGGCGACAATGTAAACAATTAATCACAGACAAACGATCAAACTTCATCGTATACACCCTGACACTAAAAATACAATTTTAAGCACATTATTGTCTTTTGTCCGTATTTGTACTTCTATCATGTATAGATTTTCTTCGAAACGTTTCTTTGAAAATTATTTTATACAGTTTTTGGATAAACAATTTATTTCATAGATGTTATTATTCAATATTCGACTAATGGTCTAAATATTGACCTCCATTTGGACACTGTCTCAGCTCTCACCGATATGGTGACCATAAAAAATTACGTAAACAAATGATTGAACCAGTTTTTAATAGGTTATAGAGGACACACCCATTCAAACGTGGAATGAGGATATTCGATAACTTGGCTAGACATCTGGTTTATCTCAGCTTTCTCCGCTTTGCGTTTCGGAAGTTGACAGATTGCGTCTAAATATCATTAATCCGGTACAGCCACTACATAAGAAATATTTGTACCTACTACACCTCAAGTTAATGTTGCATTAGACACGAATATTCAGCTCAAGAATTACGTTATAGTATTATGTACTAATACTTAGGGCTATAAGGCACGGCTGCTGAAATGGCCAAAACAAATGATTTAATAATATTGTGATTAGCTCCTTCTTCTATCGCTTAATGCATACAATACCAACTGTGCTGTACAATACTAAACGCATAATATCTACTCAGAAACATAAAACTTCCTCTAAGTACAATATAAAAAAATAATAGTTAACGTTCACAACAATTTTACAAGTATTTGCACAAAAACCTGATCTAGGCCTGGGAAGTTAAAAATAACATTTAAATTCAACTACCCCCAATTATATAATACTTATACAATAGACGCCTAGAGTCAAAGGAAATCTCTTGCACTTCTTCAGTCCCTTTCTACTTTCCAAATGTGTAATACAATCTCTACACTGTTACAGTTGTAGAAAGATAAAATTAACCTTAAATTTTATTTTACCGTTAAAATAAAATGAACGCGGCTAATAAAGCTCACATTTTCAAATGTTTGGCAGGTAATTATAAAATGTTCAATAATTTTTATCATGTTCTTAGATGATACAAGTAGATTACTATAATAATGTAATATTACCAATAATACAATTTAGGTAATATGAATTTAGAAATGTGTGTCACGAACAAACGGTAAATTTAAAACAATTCAAAGTGATGTCATGAAAATTATATTTTATGCTGATGAAACTGATCAAAACTATTGAAATAATAATTCTGATGTCCACTGACATTTCGGACGACAGTGTGTGTAGAATAAATAAGTACTGATTCCATGCTAAATGGTACATACGCTATTGTATACTAGTTTTGGTTAAAATTGATAATTAAGTATGAAAATATATCTTCAAAGTTGTATAAAATTCAATTAACGTTTTACAAAAAAAAATAATAAACGCTAACAATTTGTTATTCATTAAGAAAAATCAAAGAAACTTAAACGCAATTTTTTTAGGTTTTTAAGGAAAACGTTCGTTGTCTGAGTATTACACTATATTGTATACGTACATCTTACATTGTAGGTATATAGCTTTTAAAATTAAAACCTAGTGGAGACCTTAATACATTGGCGCAACTAGAGGGGGTGCTGAGAAAGGTCAAATCCTTCTAATTCGTTCAGGCTCTAAAATAATGTCAACAACAAAACAGACGCATCACCCGAGTAAGGTTTTTAATTTTTACTGAAATTCTGAGGGAGCTTTCAGAGTTTTAAAAACGTCTGAACTTCCTCAGCATCCCCTCTAGTTGCGCCAATGCCTTAATAATATATTAATGACATTTTATGTTCAATAAGCATGTATACGTATATAATATTATTATATACGTGTACAGCCCGTGCCGAATTCATCACAATACATGTATATATTACTATAGTAATCACACTGTTACAGGTGTATGGGGTCATGCCATTATTATTTTATTTATACCGTTTTTTTCATTCGGATCATCACTTTTATTTTGTATGCGGCAGCCTATTGTTTTTAAAGACGGCTCGTTCTTTGTTGCGCTATATGGAAATTTTTTTTTAATTTCAAGAGCTGTTCACTTATAATGTTCACTTATATTTCATATGTTTTTTAATAGAAAAGTAATGCTGCCATAAAATCTATTGCGAAAAACAAATGTTTTTTTTTAGTTCAATGTTGGTGGAAAAATATAATTAATTTTATAATCTATGAATTTTTGAAAATAATATTGATTGTCAGTTTTTAGTTGTTTTGAAACAAACAAAAATAATCATACTTAACAGTTATCAAATGTAATACAAATAAAGAACTATGAACAGTTATGAGTTTGTTACAACTCCCAAGTAGTTTAAATTAGTATTTTTAATTAAAACAACCATTATTACCAATATACCATTATTCCTACTTAAATAAACATGTAAATTAATATAGCCTTAACGTTGTGTAAAAAATGGCATTATCACGATAAAAGTTAAATAATTTATGACGTTTTGTAAAAAATTCAAAAAAGAGATTGATGGAAAGAAAAATCTTAGAGTTCATTTTCCAACAGTAGTACATTTTGACTAATTCATTTTTAGCCGCACACACCGTTCAATGATCTCAATTAGCGGGCTACTATCTAATTAGATTATAAGACTATCAATTGTTACAAATCAAAACTTTCTCAAAGTGCTACATTCAAATAATTGTTCCATTTCCTGCTTCCAAAAACCGTGTGCGTTTTAGTCCGTTCACAGAATTTTAATTATGGTTATTATTTGAATAGTCGAAATTACATCACAAGCATTAATAAATTGTGCGTGTACAACGCAAAAAGTTTTCCTAAGGGGAATTAGTGTTACGTAGATAAATATGCATATAATGTTTTGTGTAACAGTTATTACAAGCTTCCAACTTCACAGACTACAGACTATTTAAATTTAAATTTGTATTTCATTTTTATAAGTAGTAAATTACATACATTTTAGTACGTTGTTTAACATTGATTAACAAAGCCAATTATTTGAGGTGTTATATAATTTTCAGTTGATCCGTTATACGACGTCGAATAAAAGAAACTTCC